ACAGCACCTCTGATAGGCGTGGGGGCAGTTCATTCAGAGTGACAAGGGAAGCTGGAGAACCTGGGGACAGTGCGGGTTTGTGGGCAGACTTAGTGGAGAGGTGACAGGGGAAGACTGGACTGATCATTTCCTCAGTGAATTAGGAGGTAAGGCCACCCCTGAGCAGACAGGTCTGGCGGTGGAGGGCTATAGATTTGAGGAGAGAGAGGATATAATTCAGCCGTTTTGGAATGTGTGCTGAGATTGCAGGACAGGGGAAAATGCCCCCTGGCCATGAATTGAAAATGAGCATCCTCACACATTAGAGCCTCATGCTCTTTGCATCTGCGTTTAGCTCTGCAGGTGCTGACATGCAGCAGGTGGACGGTAGGGTTTCACCAGGGTTGGACATCACCAGCTGAGTGGGACAGAGGGAGAGAGGGTGTTTGCAAGTAAATCAGTGCAAGAGAGGATAAACAAGGCGTAGCTGTCTGCAGCTTAATTTTGCTGAGTGGTAATTAAAAATGTTTTTATTTTAAAACAAATCTGATTCATTCTGAGTAGAATGAAAAAAGCACATGGAGTTTTCAGATAATCCAGCAGACTTCAAAGACAGTTTTCCTGTTTAAAATGCCACTTCCAGCTCTACCTACCTCCCATCCTCATCAGGTGAATTCACTCTTCTTGGAAGTTTGGGAAGTTTCAGGAAAGTTTGGGAAGCCCTGCCTGCTGGTGTGACCCTCATGACCTCTGAATAGCCCCCTGGCTTTTTACAGGGGTCATCTGAGGACAAGGTCCAACCAAGAACAGTGACAATATTCATAGAGTAGAAGGGTGAAGCTTTTGTGCCCTAATATGGTGTGAACAGCGAGGGCTATGGTCTAGATCTGGACCCTTCCAGGGTTCTGGAGGGATGGGGGGGAGAGTGGCTGACCTTGATGCTAGCCAGAGAGTCTAGTCTAGAGGTCACATGTGTCAGAGTCATCCAGGTAGAGTGTGTGGAGGGGGAAAATTGAATACCATGGAGACCTCCCCTCTTACTACCCCATCTCCTAGGACCTTGAGGGTCCAGGCAAGTGACTCTGGCAGGACCCAAACCAAGTCAGGGACCCGAATTCCAGAACTGGGGCACAAGGTGTGGATGGGGTATTGGGAATGAGGCCAAAGCCCAGTTATCAGAACTAGGACACTTTTCATGTGGGACTTGTGTTCCTTACATCCCTCCTGCATAGATCTTGGGAAACAGAATGTGCCTGAGCCTGGGCCCAGGCAGGACCTCTAGGGCTGAGTGAGGCTTTGGGCCAGTCCAGGGCAGCCACCTCCTCTGCCTTTACCTGTCACCCTGCCCCAAATAGCCCGCCCTTCCTGCCCAGCACCCATGGCGTAGTCCCACACCCTGCAAAGGAGAGCCTCAGCATAAACAGCATGTTTATTTTGAACATTTGAATTTACAAAAACAAAAAGGTAACAAAAACCATGACAGAAATCACACTCACTCACACACACAGACACACACACACACACACGTTGCATCTCATGTCACTTTATGTACAAAATAAGGGTGAGGAAGGCAGGGCTGGGAGGGTTGTCGGTGGGGTGCACTAATGTCACAGTGTCGGACAACTTGACATGCTCACTTACGTTCAGTCTGGGCCCACTTGAGCCCCTTCCCTACCCAGGGGTGAGGGCTCAGGGATCAGGGTGGGAGGTAGGGTCTGGGGTGGCAGGCAGCTGGAGTAAGGGGGTGAAGAGAGTGATCCCATCTCTGGAAGAGGACCCTTTCTCCAGTTTGCTCAGGCCAAGGGTGCTGGGATGTGTAGACAAGGAGGGACCCAGTTCTAGGGAGGGGCCACTGTGTCCTGGAGCAAAGTGACATGGTCAGGAAATTGGGCTCCAATTCCCACATCCAGCTGAAGGCTGTTCACCTTCCCCAGGCCTTGGCTTCCTCATCTATAAAGCAAGAGCCTTGGTCTCTTCTAAGTGCCCTTCCTGCCCAAATCTGTGGTCCTAGGTCATGCAAAGTTGTGGCAAGGGGAAACGTCCCCTTGGGACGTTGGTAGGGGCACCGCATGCCACAGAGGTGGGAAAATCTGGCAGATAACAGCTGTGAAGCACCTGGCACAGGGCTCAGCCCAAAGCAAGAGTTTAAGGAACAGCAGTTTCTCTCCCCTTCCTGGGACTCTTGGGGGACATTCAACTTCCTTTCCTTTCCAGCTCTCCTGGAAACTCCAACTGAGCTAGAGAAGAGCTGAACCCTGCCCCACAGCTTCACCTAGGGGACCCTGACCCTGGGCCCGGCCCATTCCATGCCTCTGTTCCTCCACCTCAAACCCCGGGGGCTAGTGAATGGGGCCAGGTACATCCCTGAAGGCTGAAACACACCTGGAGCAATGGTGCCCAAATCCTACTCTATGCAGCATTGAGGGTCCTCATCCCCTCTTGCCGCTGGTGACCCCTTAATATAACCTGCTTTGGTTTGAAATCTGGGCTCCATCACCTGCTAGCTGACTGACATCAGGCAGGTTACATCACCTCTCTGTGCCCCAGTTTCCTCACCAGTATAATGAGGCTAAAAACATTCCAAATTCACAACTGTGTTGTGAGGATAAATGAGATGATGCCGGTCACATGCTCAGTGCAGTACCAGATGCTTAACATGGCACAACAGACACAGGTTCTATCACCCGGGTCAGCCAGTGCAGCTCAGGATGCGACTGAGCACTGTTCAGCTCCTCTTTCCCTGGTCCTCTTGGACATGTAGAAGATCTCAAAACTGGAGTCCAAACAGCAGGCACGCGTGCATGGACACAGAACAGAGAACAGATGAAGGATGGGGAGGGGCTTTACAAATGAGGAGCTGAGCCCCTCACCAAACAAGGGCCACACCCCAGCCACTCTGACTTGTCCCTCGTCTCTCTGGAGTGCTGACCAGGGTGACTCAGCACGGGAATGAGGCTTGGTATCAGATGTCTCATCACCACTGTAACAAGCATAAAGGACTTGGGGTGGTGCATTTGGGTGGGCTCAAGTGACTGAGCAAGTGCTGTCGCCTCCTTCCTAAGACTCTATCCTTCTCTAAGAGCTAGCTCTTGGGAGAAGCTACCTACTTCGAAGGAGAAACAGATAAAGCTCAGTGTCCCTGAAATCTAAGTCCTGAATTCTGCCGTCACCCCAGCAACAGAGCATGTCATTCTGATGAGACACTTGACCCAGCACTTGGGCTGATGTCATTGGCTGTTACCAGGGCAACCCGGATCTCGGCAGGCCTGACTGAAGCCCGCCATCACTCTTTCTTCTGAGGGGAGTCAGGCTGGAGGTGCTAAGCAATCTATTTGTGCTCTCGAAATGGAAACAAGGATCTAGGGGCCAGAGGCAACAAGTCTTGGAGAAGCTTCCATGGCAGCAGGCCCCACAGCCTGCAGCTCTTACATCACATCTCAGGCTAAGTGGCTGCAGAAAGTAGAGATGGAACAAAAAGGAGGCAAGAGGCACCAGTGCCCACTTGAGTCAGGAAGGCTGCAACTGCTCAGACAGCTGGTAGAGGTGACTGGCAGGGAGGAGACATCTGTGTGCCCCAGCCCTTCCCTCTGCCACAGTGCTCAGAGGTCAGAACCTCCTTCCCTCATTTCCTGAGCATGGGTGCCAAGATGTCTGGGTGTTACATGTAGGAAGATGCTCCAGGTGTCATGTTGAAAAGCCTCCTGGACTCTTAGATTTCCACCCTCCTACTTGAAGGTCTTGACTTAAAGATCCTCACAGACAGGCAGCCTGGTGTGGGGAGAAAGAGCCCCATCGTGCTGTGAGGCAAGACACTTGCCCTCTCTGAGTTCTTCCCCATCTCTCGCAAGCAAGAGGTCAGACTAGATAGCTTTTCTCAGCTCTGATATTCTTATACTGTCTTGGGAAAACTGGTAAGGGCTCCAGGGTGAAGACTGGGAAGCCATCAGCCCTTCAAGACACTCTTGAAGAGGTGCCAGGCTGGGGGAAGCCATGTGTGAGGTGAATCTCCCTTGAACCTTGCCCTTGGCCCTTTCTGCAGCAAGCTACTGACCCTAACCCATGACCAGGTGATCCCATCTGGGCCACCAGGGGGGTACCCAGGCTTTCCCCACTCTATCTACTTAGAATCATAGACCACCTCACATTCTGTCTGGAGAGCTCTTGGAAATGACCAAAGCAAAGGCCTCAGCTCACCTGTGAGGAAGGCCAGGCCCAGAGAGAGCAGGGACCTACAGAAGGCCACACAGCAGGTTAGCATGGCTAGCTGGGAACCAAGGCTGCTCCCTCTTGACCAGTGTGCTGCCCCTCACTTAATGCTTCTCCCTATCCTGTCAGCTTCTTCCTTCCCTCCCCAGGACAGAGGGGGCAGGTAATGTGGCTCTGCTGGGGACAGTCTTCTGGGCCACCATGCATAGGCCTTAAGCTGCTTCCAGACAAGACTGAAGTGGTCCAAGCCCCATCTTTGGCATGGAAGTGTGTGTGTGACTGTGCCAGTGGCCACAGCTATTGATGAGCACAACAGATGACTGGGTCCTTTGGCCTCCCAAGATCTTGGTCCCTAACCCTCCAGGCTGGAACTGGGAAAGCAATGTCCTGGTAGCAGGCGGGGCTGGGCCAGGCATGGAACCAACATTCAAACCACTGCACACAAAGAAGGGAGGAAAGAGGAAGAGGAGGAGGCAGGGTGTGGTGGGTGGGGTGGGGGAGGCTCCACCAAGATCCTGCTGCCTTTCCCTGGCAGCTGGTGGGAAGATGGAGGAGGGGGAGACTGATCTCCTCTGTCTCTGTCATCCCCTTCTCCAGCCTGTCATGGTCCTGAACGGGAAAGGGACAGACCTGCTGTGTCGGGGACAATGGCCATCCCTCCACTGAGAGAGTGGGCCTTGCCCCTACAACAGCCCTGTGGGGGATGTGGTAAGGATCAGTGGAGTCAGATGTGACTGATGGGATGCGGGAGGAAGGTAACAGACAACTCCAGTGCAATCCAGGAGTGTGGGCAGAGCCTAGACTCACCCCAGGCTCCACCTGGTGACTTGAGATGCTTGTCCCCATCCAGGTGGGGTTAGCAAACACACTCACAGGGCAGGGCACTCTGGAGATGTGGGTACAGGAGAGGGGAAATGGAGGCATGGCCAGGAGTAGGCAGGAGGGAAAGCCAGTGTGTGGACAGGCTATGGAGGGGATGTGCCCCCTCAAAGTCCCCCAAATGGCAGGCAAGTGAGGGGCCCTGGACAAGGGGACCCCTCATGCCTTGGCCCCCCCCTTGCAGACATCAAAGGCGGCCTTTGTTGCACCCCCAAAGACCTCCACCAGCTTGTCTTCCCAGGGAAGGACGTTGCCCAGCAGTGGCCCGGTACAGTTGGCAATGCCCAGAACCTGGGCAGGTGTCAAGGCATGGTCCCACAGGTTAAACTGGGCAATGTCACCAACGAAGGCCTGGGTGGCATCAAACCGGCCACCCAGGGTATCCTGGGACAAAAGAACAAGACAGAAAGGAGAAACATGGAGTGAGGGAGCAGAAAAGACAGGCAGGCACCAGGTGAGGTCCCAGCAAAAGCCCCACCCCATCCCTGCTGAAGCCCCACCCCCAAGGCTCAGCCCCATCCCCCAAGGGGCGTGTCTCTGCTCTCTCTAGCCCTCAGGCTACCCATCTGCAGAATGGTGTGGTTAAGTTCAATATCAGCTTGAGCCTTACCTGTTCCTGGCCCAGGATAAGGATCCCATGAGGCTTGATGGGGTGCCAGGCAGCCAGGTTCTCGCCAGAGCCCTGCAGCTCCCCGTCCTGGTAGGCAGACCAGAGGCCATCCCTTGTGGTCCAGGAGATGCAGATGTGGTGCCAGCCATTGTCCTTTAGGCTCAGGGGCAGCTGGGCCACCTGGACACAGGTTCCACATCCTCAGGTCAGAGGTGCCACAAGGCCCAAGGCTGATGTAGTGGGGATCGGGGGTAGGGAGACCCATGTCCTCCCTTCCAGGGAGTGACCCAAGGCCTCACTTCATGTTCTCCTTCCTCCCAGCCCAGTCACTTTCCCTGACCCTTCTCTATTTCTTTCCCCACAGACCAAAACAAGCAGGTTCACTCAGATCACAAGGGACTATCCAGTTTGGGTTTTCAGTTGTTTCTAGGCAGTTTGCTCACTCTCTATCAGGCCTGTACGGTCATACTGGGTGGAAGCAGTGTCTCACAACCCTACCTGACTCTGAACTCCTCACCCAGGGCCCCCCTGTTGGCAGTAGCAGAGTGAGCCTTGGACTCAGAGACCAGGCACTGGCCCAACTCTGCCACCAATCTCCTGTGTGACCTTAGGGAGGCTGCTCTTCTCTCTCTGGGCTCTTTCCTCATCTGTAAAGTGAGAACATCAGACAAAAGATAGGCTGGGGGCAGAGTTGGCTCAGACCTGTAATCCTAGCACTTTGGGAGGCCAAGGCAGGTGGATTGCCCAAGATTAAGGGTTTGAGATCAGCCTGAGCAAGAGTAAAACACCGTCTATAAAAATAGCTGGGCGTTGTGGCAGGTGCCTGTAGTCCCAGCTACTTGGGAGGCTAAGGTAAAAGAATCACTTGAGCCCAAGAGTTTGAGGTTGCTGTAAGCTATGATGCCACAGCACTCTAGCAAGGGCAACAAAGTGAGAATCTGTATCAAAAAAAAAGAGAGAGAGAAATGGCATTGACACAGCCACTACCTCTTCTTCTCCCCAAGGCAGACATGGCGAATCACTCACGAGCCCAGACTCAGCCTCATACTCTTTCCATCACGGTGCTCTGAGATGCCACTGCTGATTGATTAGGGTTGGCCTGTGAGATGAAAGGTACTTGCTATCTGTGGATTTGTGCTCCCAGAGGGCTCTTTCACCTTATAAGTTCTCTGAGGTCACAGTTTAATGTAACATTCTCTGAGGTGTACTTACTGCCAGGCCTTGTTCTGGACATTGGGGACATGGATCAGATCTGATCTGAGCCCTCAGTGAGCAGAACTGCACAGGAGGGAAGGACTTCAGGGACAATACTGGCAGACATAACAACATGGGGGCCATGAGGGAGGTACAAAGACTGTGTGACGGCCGAGGACGAAGAAAGGGCATGGGAACAGAAGACATGCTGTCTGGAAGAACAACAGAACCTGACCATTCCACTATTAGGCATGGCAGGGGCAAAGGCTTAGGGGCTGGACTAAAAGGGGAACAGTGAGCAGTCTATGAGTTTGGCTCTCAAAGGGACTCCAGAGGTTCCCAGGATAGGGCTGTGCAGTGCCCTGTCCAGGGTGCTGAATTCCCTCTCCAGAGAGCTGAGTGCTGAACTCGGGCAAAGCCAAGGACTGCAGCCAGGGGGTGATGAAGGGAACAGGGAAGCAGCACCTAGATGTGTTCCAGCCACTCTGGTGATTGTAGGATTTATAGGGCCACAAGAGAAATTCACTGATCTCTGGGCCTTTCTCTTTCCTATTCTTTCTTCTCTGGGATGCCCGTGAAAGGCACCTTCTGCTGAGCTGGGTTCTGATGGTCTCAACCAATCCTAGTGGCTCTCTGTGGCTACAGGCTAGTCACAGGGCAGTGTGATATGTGGCATCTGCATTTCCAGAGGGGTCTCAATGGATCAGCATGACTGCCAGGCCCAAAGCAATGTTGCAGGTGGGTGGCAACTTTGGAAAGGGGATGAGGGTGTTAAGATACTCCCTCCGCCCAAGGCCTGTCCTTAAGGTCCTGCCTTTCACCAGGGCAGGGAAGAGGTTATAGGGTGGTTTCTGGAACCCAAGACCCCAAATCATAGCATCACTCCTTCACCAGCTGTGTGGCCAGGGAGCATTATTTCCCCTTCCTGAGCCTTAGCTTCTCCATCTGCAAAATGGGAAGGATGAGTGTGCCTACCTCCCAGTGCTGAAAGGGAAGTCAAGGGTGATGATGTGAGTAAAGATCTGATCAGCACAGTGCCTGGCACAATGAGAGCAGCTGACACTCGCTGATGCTCACTCAGTGCTGGGCTCTGCTCGAAGCCCTCCTCAGGTATTTTTTTTTTTTTTTTTTGAGACGGAGCCTCAAGCTATCCCCCTGGGTAGAGTGCCATGGCATCATGCTCACAGCAACCTCCAACTCCTGGGCTCAAGCGAGTCTCCTGCCTCAGCTTCCCAAGTAGCTGGGACTATAGGCGCCCACCACAACGCCCGGCTATTTTTTTGGTTGCAGCCGTCATTGTTTGGCAGGCCTGGGCTGGGGATTTGAACCCGCCACCTTAGGTATATGTGGCTGGCACCTTAGCCGCTTGAGCCACAGGCGCTGAGCCCCTCCTCAGGTATTAAAGCCACTTGCTTCTCACTACAGCCCCATGAGGTAGGGGCTACTATCTCTCTTGCTGTACAGATTAGGAAACTGAGGTACAGGGCAGGTAAGTGATGAGTTGATGGTCACACAGGGGTTATGATGCAGAAGCAGAATGCAAATCAGCGTGCAGGTCCCAGAGCCTGCCCACTGCACCGCTGTACTCTCCATAGTGGGGAAGGGTAGAGGGGCTGGCCTCCAGGGAGTAGAAGGGAGGACGAGCCCATGAGAACTCCCTTCTCCCCAGGTGGGCCCTTGACCTCACTTTCTTCCTTATCTCTACATCCAGGAGAATGAGCAGGGCCCTGGGGCAGACCTTTCCACTCTGACCCCACAGCTGGGTCATCAGAGAAGTCACTAAATCTCCAAGAACCTCACTTGCCTCTTCTGTAAAATGGGAATAACACTTACAGCCTCTGTTGGACACAAGGGCCTGTTCCATGTCTAGACTGTTTTTGTATTACCACCCCACCCCCTCCCCAGACACAGCATTCAATGTATGCTGAATATGCTGAGCAGGGGAACAAAGAGAACTGACCCATGCAGGGGCTCCCAGAGGGGTCACCGTCTGCCCTTCACTGCCTACCTTGTCGTTGATCAGCAGCTCCATGGGTTCATGACCTGCCTCTAGCAGCACAATTTCGTTGGCCTGCCCAGGCACCGAGTAGGAGAAGGGGGTGCCCTGGCCAGTACCACTGGACTTGGATCGCAGCCACATGCAAGCGGTGAACCCGTAGAGCTCAGGCAGCACCTTCCGCACGCGGGCATACATGTAGTTGTTGCGGAAGGGGATGCTGACCTTGAAGCCATCTGTGGGGCTGTAGGCCGAGGACCCTGAAGGTGGGCAAGGCAGACACAGTTGTAGTCAGTGGACACTGACAAGGGCAGAGTGGACAGGGAACACTCCAGAATGAGAGCTAACAGTTCCTGGGCACCTACTGTGTGCCAGGTGCCTTCAGCGCCTTCTCTGCTCTGCCTTTGTGCTGAGGGGCATGGTAAAAACCCAAGGGCTCTGGACCTGAGATGCCCTGAGTTCAAATCCCACCTCCACCACTTCCCACTCATGTGACCTTTAACAAGTTAAACTTAGCCTCTCTGGGCCTCAGTTTCCTCAGTAAAATAGGGTAATACTATTTCCTCCCTCTCAGGTTGAGGGGAACTGAGTACAGAAAGGGCCTGACCCATAGTAAACATTCAGTGTTAGTTGTGGTGACCCAATTTTTAAATTTTTCCTATTTAATGAGCTTCACTACGTATGTAGTGCTTTCTATGTGGCAGGCACTATTTGAAGTGCTTTTACATACTTATTTCATTTCTTGTGACAACCTCATGAAATAGACACAATTATAATCTTCATTTTACAGATGAGGAAACCTTGGCACAGAGAGGTTAAGTAATCTTCTCAAGGTCACATAGATAATAAGTGGCAGAGCTGGGATTTGAACAAAACAATCTTGAGACTCTCTGATCTTCAAAGTGTCTTCCAACTCAGAGTTTCTGGCATTCTATGTCTTAGCTATCAGACAGCTTCCTGCAGGGGCGTGGTGGATTGGAGAGTCACTGCCTCCAAGGGGAGGGGATACACACACCACATACACTACAGGGTAGGAGTCACGGGCACTGCCATCTGAAATTCATCATTTCTAATTCCTGGTGAATCCCCCTCACCCAGTTACCAAGGACTGTGGGTTCTGGGTGGGGGCCAGGGATGTGGACCCAGAGTTCCTGGATCTGGTTTGGGCTTGGAGTGAAGGCTGACAGGATGCATCACAGTAAGAGGGAAGGTGCTCACTGATGGACTCTAAAACTGCTTCTTAGATGAGGAAGTTGAGCCCCAAGAAGGGAGGTGACTTGCACATGGGCACACAGATGTCCAACTGGGTGACTTCCCTCCTCTCTGCCCTGCCGCCTCTCAAGGGCATTTCCCCTGATCCCTTTGGAGACTCCATGGAGAGGGACCAGTGGGACCAGCAGGACTGAGTAGGACGGGCCTGCCTCTCTTGTCCCTGTGCTCCAGCCAGGGTGCTGTGCTAGCCCACTAGGCCTATCCCTCCCCTGAAGCTTGCCTCTGCCATGGCCCCTCCATTCCAAACTGTGCTCTCCACCTCTGCTTTCAAGAACTAGCTTGAGGCTCACCTCCCCCAGCAGGCCACCTGGATTGTCTTCTCCTGAACTCCTGTTCCCTACCTAAGCTGTCTCTGCTAATTGCTCATGGTTCTCTCATGTCTCTAAGCCTCTTAAGAGCCATCCTCAAGAGCTCATGAGTCTCAACAATGCCTCTCATTTCTCGGGTGAGAAAAACTAAAGGCTGAGGAAAGGAAGTGACCTTCCAAGGTCATAGAGCAAGCCAATGACAGAAATGGATCCAGGAGCCAGGCCTCGTGCTCACACCTGTATACTGTCCATTATGTTTCTCTGACCCTCTGGCAGTGCCAGGCCCAGGTGGTAAACAGAAGACAAAATCCTGACTAATTCAGCAAAGGTGCTATTTTGTGTATGGTTAAATGCAAGACTGTGGAGTCCTGCCTGGCTTAAGGTCTGAATCAGTGGTTCTCAACTCACAGGAACTGTATTAAAGGGCCACGGCATTAGGAAGGTTGAGAACCACTGGACTCTTGATCTACCTCTCATTGGCTGTGTGACCTTCAGCAAGTCACTTGACCTCTCTGAGCCTCAGTCTCCTCACCCGTAAAAACTGTGAAAATTAAAATCAGCTGATGTGATTGGGCCAAGTACTTAGCCCAATCCCACGACATAGAAAGTGCCAGAAAATGGTAACTGTTTATTTAACCTTGATAATGATAATATCCTTCAATTATTCTCTCCCTCTTGTGTTCCACAGTTGCCTCCTCACCCTCCCATCCAGAATAAGCCCCTGGAGAGCAAGAATGTATTTTTTTGAGTAGATCTGTCACCCCAAGAACGCCTCCAAGGACTAAGGCCTGGCTGCAATGCCCTTCCTGGGGCCCAGACCCACCGTGCTCCAGCTCGGCGAGGCGGTCCTGCAGGGCATCTAGCTCCTTCTCCACCTCCTGCCGCTGCCGGTGGCTGCTGTGACTGAGGGCCGCACGCTCCTTCTCCAGTGCCAGCACTTGGGCCAGCAGCTGCCCCTCTAGCTGGTCCATCTTAGAGTGCAGAACGGTGGGTGCCACGGGGGCAGGAGCTGGGACAGCTGAGAGGTTCGCATGGGCTGGGAGGTCCTTCTGCTCACAGGACAGAGAGAGAAAGCATGAGATGTCATCTGGGGGGAGAAAGGAAAGATGCCCAAGGGTGCCAAGGGTGCCGAGATGCCCACTGCCCCTTCTTATTGACTCCCAGGTGAAAAATGGGAAGGGCAATGTCAACTCCAGGCAGCAGATGAGTCCCAGTGCTGGTGCCTCATAGTAAGTAGCAAGCAGAGCTGGCTCCTGCCCTTGGGGATGTCTCAGCCTGTGGCTGGAGTGTGGGGTCTGGCCTGAAGGCTGCAAAGGCTTCCAGGTTGTTCCAGTGCGCAGTCAGCATCCTTCCTGGCTGTGAGGCTGGACACTGACCTGTCACTAAAGGGACACACTGTCTTAGTCCTCACTCATTCACTCACCAGGCTTCTCTAAAATGGGGCTGTGGGCTCGGCGCCTATAGCTCAACTGGCTAAGGCGCCAGCCACGTACACCTAAGGTAGCGGGTTCGAATCCCCAGCCCGGACCCGCCAAACAACAATGACGGCTGCAACCAAAAAACAGCCGGGCGTTGTGGCGGGCGCCTGTGGTCCCAGCTACTTGGGAGGCGGAGGCAGGAGACTCGCTTGAGCCCAGGAGTTGGAGGTTGCTGTGAGCTGTAATGCCACAGCACTCTGCCCAGGGGGGCCGGTTTGGGGTTTTTTTTCAAAAAAAAAAAAAATAAAATAAAATAAAATAAAATGGGGCTGTGCACAAGGCTCTGGGTGGGTACTGGGCCCAGACCCAGGGGCACAACCAGTGGCTTCTAGAATAAGACTCCAGAGGCCTGGCTGTTCCAGGGTGGCAGCTAGTTAAAATCACATACTCTGGAGTCAGATAGCCCAGAGTTCAAATCTAGCTCAGGAACCAACCTGCTGTGTGGCCCTGGGAAAAGCTCTTGACTTCTCTGAACTTGTTTACTCATGAGACAATGCACCTATCTGGAGGGCCGTGGGGAGGATTAAGTGGAAAAGGCCAATAAATAGAGCCTGTTTGTTGTAATTACTGTCTTGGGGAGAGTGTTCCAGGGTGCACTCTGACACCCCCATTTTAAGACCCTGGTGGACAGGAGAAATGGGGCAGGAGCTGGAGGGGCCTCTCCTCCCCCCTCTCCTGCTGGAGAAAGCCCCTTTTGGGGTGGAGAAAGGCAGATGAGGACACGGGTTCTGACTCTTGGAGGGGACAGTCTCTGGTGGACCTGTCATGGAAACATCAGTACGCGATTAATAATGCAATAACCTGCTAGGAAATTAGGCCTTTGCCACTCCCCTGGCTTCGCAATCCCCCTGGCTTTCCCACCCCCTCCACGGTCCCCACTGCCAGGTCAGCAGCTGCCTCCACACTGCCCAGAGCCCTGGGAAGTTCGCTCTCAGCCTGGCCCTAGGCCCTGCCCCGAGGTTTAGGTGAGCTCTTTGAATTCTCCTGATTCATTCATTGAGCAAACAATTCATGAGCACCTACCACGTGCAGGGCTGAAGACACAGCTGAAGGCAAAACAGAAAACCAAAAGCACCACATTCCCTAGGTGTCCTGAGCCTTGAGGGATGGCCCTACAACTTGTAGCGAGTGCTAGAGACCCTTCCCATCCTCATTGGCCCAGCCCTGGCCTTCCTGGGCATTTGCTAGGTGACACTGGCAAGCCCCTAACCTCTCTCAGGCCATTTTCTAGCCATGTGACAAGTATGTCCCCGGTGTCATAGTGATGGTCAGTGCCTACAACAGGGGAGTTGCCATTGTGGACACCGATGTGACTTTGAGCTGAGGACTTGGAGAGACTGATGACTGGACTCTGCCACTGTACCCTGAGGGCACAGGCAGGTTGGGTAACCCCTCTGGTATTATTTTTCTTCTATAAAATCAAGCTTTGAATGCCCAGCTTGTGAAGCTGTGGCCAGTATTAAACAATGGCATATATAGGAAGGCCCTGGCCTAATGACTGGTCCATAGTGGGTATCAAGGCACAGTTTTGGGCCCGTGGGGTAGGTGGGGAGACTTGGATGTTCTCAGCTATGGTCAGAGCCCCAGCAGGTACCTTGCAAATGTTCACTCATTGAATCTGCTTAACACACATATGTGGTAGGGACCATCGATGTACCCACTTCATGGACAAGAAACGAGGTGAGAGCATCAGCCAAGGTCACACCAGGGTCAAGCAACAGAGCTGGGACTGAGCCTGGCAGGCTGTGCCTCCCACACCCTCTGTTGCTCACTGCAAGGCTCCTCTTGGCCCTGTGCCCAGCAGGCCCTCTGGAAGCCCTTCTCCCTCTCTGTCCCACCTACCCCTGGGCCTGCTGAGTGGCTCCTGTTGGGAGGGTGAGGCTGCTCCAAAGTGCAGGGGGTCTGGTGCCAGCTCACACTCAGCACCTCCCTTCTGCTATGGTAAGGAGCACCAGGGCATCAGCCTCCCATTCCAGGCTGTGAGATGGGACAATAGGACCCAAGTCACTGGGCTGTCCAGGTTGGTTCTGGAAAGGGACCTCCTAAAGCAGCAGAGAGGGGGCTCCGACCATTGTTATCCCCCCTCCCACCCATGTAGATGTCTGCTTGGCCCTGCTGATATGGGATGGACAGATGAGCCACTAGGTACCTCTGGCCACTGTCTTTGCTATCCCAAGGGTTCATTCTAAATTCCAAGGTACCTGCAAATCCTGACCTGGTGCAGACTAACCACAAAGCCTCAGTTTCCCCTTCCATAAAATGGGAACAACAGGCCTCACTCTGTCTATCCCCAGGACAGATGGAAAGATGGGAAAAAAGAGTGACATGACAGGTGACAGCATTAATGCAAGCCATGAGACTTGGCTACTGCCGGAGCCTTCGTGTGACCACAGAGGGCCTGCAGAGAGACAGAACCAGTCACCCACTGGATTGAGATGGCTGGACATCCAGTTAGCCCCTGCACTGCTCTGTGCTCAACCCTCACTCTCCTCTATGCCAAGCTTCAGGCCAGAGGGGGGCACACTGAATGAGACTGGGTGCCAGGCCCATCCCTGGCACTGTGTATTTATTTACTTATGCTGAGGTTGGCGCCCTTAGTATCTCCATTTCATGGATGGGAAATTGAGGCAGAAGTCCTTTTGTATTGTCTACGATGATGGGACTGGGCAAAGCTGACGTTCCTAGAGCCAACATCTTCGTTCTCTAGCCAAGTGTCCTCCCTCTTCCAAGGAAGGAAGGCCTGCCAGGAAGAACAGGCGTCGGGGCTATTTACACAGATGCTGTTCCAAAGAGAAAAAAACGTGCAGGCTGGGGGGAGAGGGAGTCGGCACACAAGCTGTTCTTTTGTCAGAGCCACTAGCACTGCCGTGGCCAAGAAGGCCAGGGAGGAGGTGGGCTCCCCGGATCGTGCATGAGCACCCCTTCATCCCAGCGTCTGAATCAGAAGAACACGACTCCCCCCACCACCCATCTGCTGCAGGCGCAGGCTGTGCTGCGTGGGCTCCTGGCCTCATGCCAAGTGGGCCCCTGGCCTAAGATGGGGGGTAGGGATGATGATGCCAACACCCTCACTTGGCTTCTGGTGGGCATGAGAATGGAGGCTGGGAGCCTGTGGGGGCTCTGGTATGAGCATATTGGGCCTGGAGCCAGAGCCTGGGGTTCTAGGCCCAGCTTAGCAGCTAGAGTGCTGGGTTCATTAGTGTTCAGTAATAACGCTAATGGCAGCAGCTATCCCAGCGAGCCCTTGCTAAGTGCCAGGCCTTGCACTGGGCAAGTGCTGTGCAAATGTTTCTCATCTCAACAACCTGGGAAGGAGGGAACTAAGGCTCAGAGAGGTGATGTTGCCTGTCTAAGGTCACACAGCTGCAAAGTCGCAGAGCCAGGCCAGTCTGGATTCCAGAACCTGTGCCTATTCCTTGGTCCTACCTTGACAGTCTGGGTCTCAGTTTGTTGATCTAACAAATGGGCACAGCACTAGTTGCCCTGCCTACCTCAAAGGCCAGCAGGAGAGGTTCTAGTGGCCATGCAGAAGGCAGGGAAGGGCCAGCCTGCTGTGTCAGAGTGCACTGTGGGGCAGTTTCACAAAGGGAGCCTGATAGGAGGGTGCTGCCAGCATGCGGTGGCTGAGAATGAGGGGACTTAGGGAAGCCCCAACCGCCTCATCCTCACTCAGGGTCTGCTCCCTTCTTGCAGGGAGCAGAAGGAAGTTGTGGAACTTCAGGGTCAGGGTCCCACCCTGTGCATAGACCACCCCTGCTGGGACAACACAGGGTCCGGCTCCAGGAGCAGCAGGACAGGGTGTAAAGTGAACAGGCTCTGGGGCAGCAGTGTGGGTCACAATTCCTCCCTTTCCCACCCAATCACCCCCAAGTTCTATGTGCCTCCTTCCCAGGATCACACCCTGACTCCACCAGCTAAGTGTCGTTGTGTAATTGCAGTACCTCAGTTTCACCATTGGCCAAAAAGGGTAAAGCAGTGTTACCTCACAGCATCGGAGTGAGGATTAAGTGAGTTAGAGGATGTAAGGCTCTTAGAGTACAGTTGGCACACAAGGTGCCATCCGAGTGCCGGTTATTAGGACTAGCACTACTTAAATTCTCTTGAAGTGGCTGGCCTTTCTGCATCTCCAGCACTAAATCTTTCTTGAATCATTACAATGAGAGAAAAAGCAAGTTACAGAGGAGCTGGATGTCATTTGGATAAGGCTGTAAAACTTTCAACCTTGTGTGACGTGTAGTTGAGAGACACACAAATGGTAAATGCATGAGAAATGGACAGCAGAGACCAATGCAAATTGATGGCCATGAGGCCATTTGGGGGCAGGTAGGGCTGGCACTGGGAGGCCCTGGAAAGGCAGCAGCAGTTTGGAAATGTCCAGGTCTTGCATCGGGGCAGGGGCCTGGATGGTGCTCTCTACCCTGTTTTTCCCATCTGAAATACTTCACAATGGTTTTCCTTTAAAAATGAAAAACTGGGCTCGGCGCCTATGGCTCAACCGGCTAAGGCGCCAGCCACGTACACCTAAGGTGGCGGGTTCGAATCCCCAGCCCGGACCCGCCAAACAACAATGA